CTATCCTATAAGCGAGAAAAGTATGTCTGTTTTCTGTAATGACGATTTCTCGGCCGTGAGGCCGAATTTCGAGTTGATTTTTGGCATGAAGGTGGAAGAACACATTTGTCAGCCACGAATTTTTTTGTTTTGCGAAATTCTTTCATTTAACGTCTTTGCAAGCAAAATAGTGAAAATCCTTAACAAAATGGGCCAATGGCCGTGGTGTCCGGGGCATAACTCGCTACGCATTTGGAATTTCGGGCTGAAAGTTGGACCAGTTGTGTATTCGATAGTGGGGATCACGCGCATCTTATTATCTTTACAAATTTTCTGCAGATTCAGACTCAAAAACTTAATTTTGTAAAATGACCAGAAGGCCTCCCTCCTGGGGCATTGGGTCGGCTTTTTCTGTGCCTCCCCGCCGCGCTTTCCCCGACACAGAAGAGGGCTTTCCCGCCGCCTGTTGCCATCTACCGCATGGTGTAGTGGATTTACGCCCGGCCTACCACGCCCATGGTCGTGGGTTCGGATCCTGGGCAAATCCAACTTTTTGCTTTTTGGTAGTTTAGCAACTAACCATATTTCTAGGCTCTCGGTGTGCGAGGTTTAGGCCTGGCTCTCGCTCTAGCGCCGCAGGCCCAAGAAGAAGCTCCTTGACCCAGGCTCTCGCGCCGTAGGCCAGATCCCCTGGAGAAAAACCAGTAACTAGCGCCGCAGGCTCAAAGGTTCTAGCGGAACGCTGGCTCTTGCGCCGCAGGCCAAACCATGGCGCCATTACTCAGGTTCTTGCGCCGCAGTCTAAAAGAAGAATGTATTCAAATTCATGATTCCTGGACGGGGTCCAGTGGAAAATGGCCGCGAAGCGGTCTTTTTCCACTGGTTAAATATATCACACAAATTATTGGTCATTCAGGTGGTCCTTGTCATCTCCAACAACCCAGACGCTGGAGGGCTGGAAATTGCTCAGAAAATGCAGGTCTCCACGGCCGTTGTTCCGCATACGACAATTCGAGAAGAAGGGGATATGAAAATGTCGGAGGTAAGTATCGCTTTTAAGAAGATCCAACCCGGGTCTGGTTAACTTATGATACGAATCATTATCTATAGATTTTTACGAATCTTGCAAATTTCGGCATATCAAATTGTGTTGTTTCAGGTCCTCAAACTCCACGGCGTCGAGCTGATCTGCCTGGCCGGCTATATGCGAATTTTGTCCGGCCAATTTGTGAAGGAATGGGAAAACAAGATGATTAACATCCACCCATCGCTGCTGCCTGCTTTTCGAGGTTGAGCAACGACATCAACTTGTTAATTTTTGTATTGTAGGTGGTCACGCCGTTCGGGATACGATTGCGGCCGGTGTGAAGGTAGCTGGGTGCACGGCGCATCTTGTGGTGGTAAGAATTACCATAATTAAATTTTTTTTGTAGATTTTATCGTCGCACCTCATTTTTATTGATAAAATATAAAGTCTATAATTTCAGGAGGAAATCGATGCCGGCGCGATCATTGCACAATCGGTCGTTACTGTGAAAGCGGGTGATACGGAAGAAACTTTACACGAGAGGATCAAGGTAATTTTTCAATTATTGTATTTTTTTGCGGTGAGCATTTTAACAATATAAGCATAATAGGATGGCTTTGTTTTATGTAGAAAAAAACTTGTTCACCATTTCCACGCTCTGTTTGGTCTCCTTGGCGGCAAAAAGACATGCATAGTTTTTGCCGGGTTTCAAGCCCTCCCCCGTGGTTTTCGCTTTGTTGGCCGATAGGCATAAGATAAGATTCAGGAGCTCAAAAAGTTCAAGCTTCTACGGGCAAGCGACCAAAGACCATATCGCTAATGTGTAAATCCATCGATACCTAATCAATTATCATATTTTTTAGGAAAAAGAGCACTCCCTGTTCCCCGATGCGATGGAGCTGGTCGCCGAGCAAATGTTGGAAAAGGCTTAAATTTTTCTCCAGTGGATATTTGTTTTGATAGCGTGTAATTGCCAGCTTGCTCGTTTCACGCCAATAAACCTTATTACTTTATTGGCGCAGACTATGAACTTTTTTCAGGCTGGAATTCAATTGGCAGGTGCAAGTAGCCGGAGCGCCGTTCTGGCAGGAAGTTTTTGGGCTGAATTGAATATGGCAATGACCCTTGAAAATCAGGGTTGTTACCTGATCCTTTGCGATATTTTGCTTGCTGAGAAAGAGGGCCGTAGGTTAAAAATCTACTGATTGGGAGGCGGCTTCGAGACTGTTCTAAGCGTACAAAGCTCGGCTTAATTTTCAGGAAAAGAATGAACTTTCACGATTTGTGATCCACCAGTTCGTACTTATTTACTCGACTCGTCCTCTCCATTGCCCCGTCAAATTTTTCTGTTTTCCCCTCGCTGCCCAGCCACTCATCGCAACTCGGGGCTTCATTTTTTTGCCGATCCGCGGCTAAAGTGGAGTACGGATTTTATAGAACTAGGATCGGCAAATGGTTTTCAGCGGTATTTTTGACGTGCCGGTCAGAAATCGAAACAAATTGCAAAACTTCAGTGTTTTCCTCGGTCTTTCCCTGACCTCGTCACGATTTATAGAGAATTTCGCATACTTTCCCAGGAAAATGCGTTTTGTATATAGCTACTTAGTTAAAACTTGCAACTCGGAGACAACACCACCATCTCTGGAAGTTTTGCATATTATTTTGGACATAGAAGACCGTATCAGATGCGTTTTGTCCTTTAGACTTTTTTTAAATATATTTTAAAGATATTTCCTCCATTGGATTTGATAACATTTCAACGCGTATCCTCAAATGATTGGTAAGCGTAAAAGGTGCATTCCATACTTTTAAACCCCTTCAAAACCAGCCGCAGCGGCCTCACTCTTCTCAGCCATCGTTTTTTTTGGAGCCGCCGCGTGGCATTGTTTCAGCTGGGGGGTTCCCCAAGTATTGCCCGGGCACGGCGGCGAAACTTTTTTCTCTGGGGCCCCCATTTTCGCATTGTTCTCTAGTCGAAAAGTTCAACACCAGACACGTGGACGGCACACGTTGGCCGGGCCCAGCTGGCCGGAAGAGGGGCAAGCGATTTTTAGAGATTCAGCGGATAGGACCGAGATTTTCATCCGCTTTCTCTCTTGCTTTCGCAGTTTCCAAGAAAAGTCGGCAAGTTTTCTTGCTACCGTAATTCTGAGTGTTTTAGTTATAGTCATGATGACATTAGCCAATGAGATCTTTGTACCTTAAATCCACGAAAAAAATAATAGGAAGGAAATCTATTGTTAACGGATTTAGGCTTTCCGGCGACACGCAGTGGTCACTGAATTGAGGTCGCTTAACGCATTCAAACGCCTGACGTCGCGGTCTTGCCGAGCCCTTTAAAGAGCGATGGTTTAGCTTTTTGATTGGCAGCAAGGTAGTAGTACATCAATCAATATTTAGCACCATATCAATATTTTCGAAACTCACCGATAGAAAAACAACCTTTGCATTTGAGTTTGTTCTAGAAGCCAGTTTCTGCGTGTTCGTTTGGCCACCCTTGACAGTTTTGAAAGATTTCACCAAATATTGCCTTAGAATAATTGGTAAATTTACCTTCCGAACAGCCATAATCTTTTATTTCTCATTCTTCGGCTACAGCCTGCGCCAATTTTCGGTCGCCCAATCCGTCGGCTGTAGGAATCAAGAACGTTCAAAGTCTTCGCGCGTTCAGTCTGACTCCTCGAACTCATATTTACCCATTTCCCAAGGTTAATTAGGGCCAAAAGAAGCCGCCGAAATCCCCCAAGTGATCAGCCGATCCCAGGAATACAACTCGGCTGGGTTTAATTTTTTAGGCGCCGGATCTCAATTTTTTCGCCTGAGATTTGGCAATCAGCAGACCCCAAATATTTTGCTTTGTTTAGATTATTGGGGAAGCCGTACGGGGAAATTGGTAGATTATTCTTTGGAAAAAGGGGGTTTGGGTGGGGTACTTTATGGTTTTGTTGTCTACATGGTAATCGGAAGTTTTTAGGGATCTAACAGACCTTGTAAGACCCAAAAAAATTGCAAAAATTAGACTCCTTAAATGCTTTTAATAAGCAATAATACTATTCAATAATTCTCCTAATTTTAGTTTTAATAGACTTTTTTTTACGATATATTTCATTGTCTAAATAGCATTAACTTAAGAATTATAATTATTTCCTATCCTATAAGCGAGAAAAGTATGTTTGTTTTCTGTACGGCCGTCTTCTCGGCCGTCAGGCCGAATTTCGAGCTGATTTTTGGCATGGAGGTGGGAAATGCAATTTATAAAAAACGGTTTTTTGGATTTTTCGAAATTCTTTGATTTAACGATTTTACAAACAAAAATGTGAAAAATCCTTAACATTTTTGGGCGCGCGCGTTGTCCGGAACTTTTCTCGGCCCCTAGAGGGAATTGGGGCCTCATTTTTGGAGGGTAGATGGGAAAAGGAATTCCCTAGATACATTTTTTCGGATTTTGCAAAAAACTTTAAGATAAAGTTTTTATAAGGATTTTTCTGCAAGGTCCTTAATAAATCGCGGAACGGACCGCGGTGTCCGGGCCATAACTCGAAGCCCTGATGGAATTCCGGGCTGAAATTTGGACCGTTTATGCAATCAAGGGTGCGGATCATGCGCATCTTATTATCTTTGCAAATTTTCGACAGATTCAGACTAAAACGTCGAATTTTGTAAAGTGACCAGAAGGCCTCCCTCCGGAAGATTGGTCACCCTTATCTTTTGCCGCGTCTCCCCAGGGGAGAATAGGCCTTTCCCGCCGCCCCTTTCCGTGTGCCCCTTAGTGTAGTGGAATAGCGTTCGGTCTACCAATGGTAAGTTCATTAGTTCGGATCCTTGGAAAATTTAATTTTTTGCTTTTTGGTAGTTCGGCAACAAAACATATTTGAGGCTCTCAGTGTGGGAGATTTAGACTTGGCTCTCGCACTAGCGCCGCAGGCCAAAGAAAAGCCCCCTGGCTCGGGCTCTCGCGCCGCAGGCTAAACAAAAGGTCCTTCCTTGGCCCAGGCTCTCGCGCCGCAGGCCAGATCCTGGAGAAAAACGAGTAACTAGCGCCGCAGGCTCAAAGATTCTAGCGCAACGCTGGCTCTGGCGCCGCAGGCCAGAAATGGCTCCTTGACCCAGGTTCTAGCGCCGCAGGCTAAAAAAAGAAGGGATTCAAATTCATGGTTCCTGGACGGGGTCCAGTGGAAAAGGGCCGCGAAGCGGTCTTTTTCCACTGGTTTATGTATTAGTCGCCTTCTTCTGCTCTGGTAAATCGGCTTTGCAAGATACCTGAATTTTATATTGAATGAAAATTCGTAGATCACCGGGAAATGTGCTATTTTGTGTGCTAGTTTTTCCCGATGAGTGGCAGGAGAAAATTGAAACCGAATTCGGCCTTTTCAATTCTCGCGGCCAGCCGACTACCCCTCCATTTTTGCGTCTATTTAATGGAAATGGGAAAATTGTCGGACTGCTGCCGAATATTTGACTTTCTTTCATCGCGGCGTCCTGTTTTTAATATGCTTCCAAATTTTGCGGCATCTGGTTCCGTCTTGTTGTTTGGCAGTTGCAAAAATTGGACGTTCAGCGGGATTTGTAGAAGGGGAAAATTTTTTGACGATTTTTTGGATGAAGCTTTGTCATAACTCAATGTCTAGGCAAAAACTGAAGGCGCGTTCTATGTTACACATCATTTGGATGACTATTTAAGAAGGCTACTGCAAATTATTATGACCGCCATCAATGCGTCCATCCCAACTACCAGTAGATCTTACAAGGAGTGCTTTTTTGAATCATCGGGAAAACCTTACGAAACCTAGCTGATTCAATAGAGAATTTTATTCTGAACAAGGCTCCGTTGTCCTTTTTTGCGAAATGGTGATCTCTGATTTTATAAAATATTAAAACTTCACCCGAAAGGGTCTATTTTCGCTCGGGGGGCACTCATGGTAAGGAGGGCACCAGTTTTTTAATTTTAGAAAATCGGAGAGGGCTATTCCGCAAAAATGAGCAGAGGCGGCTTGTTAAGAACTGAATTCTCTATCGAACGAGCTAGGTCGGGAAAGGTTTTGCCAATGACTCGAAAAAAGCACTCTTTGTTAGACTCCAATCTACTCACTTAGCATTTCGTTGCTGAAATCTTTTCAAGTCCCTGAAAAACGTTCCTTGCCCTTCCTGAAGTGTCTAGTCAAGCACAACGCGCCTGCTAAAACGTGCTCCACCTTCGACCAAAAACTTCCAAACGTTCAAGGGCCACTTTCGAGCAATTTTCCTGGCCCACTTCTCGAGATCAGGCGTTCCTGGCCTGATCTTTTTAGGCTTAGGACCAGGGTTGAAAAACCGCTTCGCGGCTTTTCAACCCTGGCCCCGTCTAGGATTTATGAAACTTGCATTTTTGCCGAAAACCGATGACCAAAAAATGAAAACCACGCCCTCCCTTCCTTTTTATAAGCCATTTCCACTTCCGGCGTATGCTAATTCCCTCAAAGAGGGAAGCCAAGATTTACAACCTAATTTTAATAGCGAATAGTAATTTTTCAAAGATTTTATGTGTGTGCAGTCGTTTCCAGCCCCTTCTTTACCCTATGCCGTCTTCCCTACCGAAATGCCCCTGAGGCTGTAGGTGCGGAACATCCAAACGGAAGTGCTGCAAATAACACACCCACAACACTATTTTTATATATGTAGTAGTAGGATTCTTTCTTTTCAGCCAAAGGGCGGGTGTGTCACGACGTCACTGAACCCATGGACTGAATTTGCAGACGTGATTGTAGTTTGCCAATCGGTGCTTTTAGGTTTATAAAATATACGATAGTGTTTTTGAAGTTGGCGATCTGATATAGCTCATTCGATGGAGCTTAAAGTTTTGAACAATACTCATATTTTAAAAACTGCTGCGCAATCTAATCTTCCAGCAAACGTACGTAAATTTTACAGCTTGTTCAGCGCCTGTCAAAAA